TAACAGGCTCATCTGATGTAACTGGTTCAAACTATCAAAGCCCAGAATCCTATGGTTTTGTGTCCATTTCCACTTAGCTCTCATCCCTTCAATAAAGCTGCCTATGGATCATACATGTTATTGCAACTGTGCACAGAAGTAGGTATTGCAGGTAGCCCTAAAAGGGGAGCTGTCAGTCATTTCAGACAAGCAGACCGGGCAGCTTGCCTTGTGCTCAGCAGAGGCACCACCTGTGTCCATTTTTTTCTACTGTGCTACTTACTACAAAACTAGAAGGAACTCAATTAGACCACCATCCTTTTGCAAATGCAGTAGAAACTGGCCAGTGAAGTTCAAAATGATTGCAATGGGACAGACAGTGTGCAACTCCAGAAGTGTCACATCTTTAGAAAAACAGCTTAAAATTCACACTGTACCCTGAAAGAGTTATACTGCCAAACAAAAGCGCATCACGAGAGATTTTCTCTCAGTTGTCAACCCTAGCAGACAGATTAAGGGAACTTTGCCACTTGATACTGTCTAGTGCTCTGCCACAGGACTGAGATGCTGTGAATAAACTTTCCTTCTGTGTCCAGGTTTTCACTTAACAGTTGCTGACACACAGCTCCCTGGACCTGACTCTACTTTCTCTGACGTTTCCGTCCAAGTCTTCCTCTCTATTTGTTTGGACTACTGTAAACTACTTTCTTATTTCTTCTCTGAAGTGTAATACTCCAACATATGCAAAATGCTTCTGCATGTTGAGTATACACAGAAAAGAAACACGATATCCCAGTTCCTGTTAATTCTTCTAATTTCTCTCTCCAGACTCAAAACAGAACAGGTGGGGGTTTTTTCAATGTACTGTGGGCTTGCTCCAACCCATTTCAAAGATCTTCTCTTCTGCCTGTGTTTTCCATTGATGTGACACTAGCTTGTTCTTTGTCATTTTAATCAACCAACTCAGAGCTGCCGTGACAGCTTTCCCTTGCTACGGCCTAACAATACAACAAACATATTGGGTAGGACTCCTCTCACCTACCTTTAGGCATCTACAGTGCAAACACTTATATTTATGCTGATCAGCTAAGTCAGCTATAAGCTCTGAAAAAAAACTAAACACATTCAGGGCACAGTCCGTGTTGATTAAAACAGGAATTGTATCCTCAAAGTATCACTCTCTCCCTCTCTCACTTAAGAAGAAAGCTAACTCAGAGGCAGAGACCTAGAAGACAGATGTCTACATTGACTAGATAAATAAAAACACCCTTGCCCGTTCCTACTCTCACTTTCCAACTTAACTGAAATCCCATTTGAGAATCAACTGCTTTCCCTTAAACTGTTCTCTATTAACAATTCACGTCATTTTGAGATGTGCCTTATGGGAAAGATGTTGACTAAATGTTTCTGTGTTGCCACTCCATCACAATTTCTCAAGGTTCAGACTTTGAGGTTCTTTCCTAGGAGAGAAATCGGTGGATATGTCACACTGATAAATACCATAACATAAAAATATCTATGCAAAAGAACAATTACTTTGTGTGTATGAAAATTAACAGTCTACTGATGCCTCTACTCACTTGTGCATTACTTCCCTTGGAAAGTTAATGCCCGTGAATATGTAACATGCATCTTCTTTTCCCTATTGCTTCCCTATTGTTTTTCACTTTCCATTATTACAGTATTTCTCCACACAACCTGTAAGACCTTTGGTAAAGAGTTAGGTTTGCATGTGAGCATTAAAGATTATTATGAAGGCACAATAATTCCTGTAGTCTGGTTAAATATAATTGCAAGGGGAGGGCAAGACAAAAGCAAAGGGCAGTTCATAATTCATAGACTTCTCACATGTTTTCAACCTTCTCCTGCAGAACTTTGTGTGTGGGAGGAGGTTACAAACGAAGCTCTCTGCTACTTTGTGCTAAAAGCCTGTGCCAGCCCTCAAGTTGCTGGAATTTATGTAATGATAACCAAATCAATTCAGAAACCAGTTTTGTTAATCTGACACAGACCCTAAGAGTGGATAGCTTTAAACTTCTCTGACAGTGTCTGCAATTACTCTAGCTGAAGAGACACTTCTGAACCAAACCTAATGTTCATGGCAAAAGAGTTACATTAATTTATATCAGCTCCTGATTGAACTGACTAGAATAAATCAGAGCGAGAGGGCACACAATCAGCTCTGCTGGCAGATTCACAGATTGCTGGAAAGGGGAATGATAAGTCCCTGGGGTTTGGCTGTGAGTAATGCTCTCCTACACCACCATGGCTGGATCCTGCCTAACCACAGTTGCTGACACCCACCAACCTCACATCTTATCCAGAGCTGCTAGGTTTAAAGCCTCTATCAAAAAATAAAAAGCTGTAAGCCATGAGAATATACTCACAGTAAAACAAGCTTCAGTGGCTTAAGGTGTCACACTCCTCCCAGCAATTTCTTACCTTCTCTTTGCCTGAGATTACTGCCTCACAGCAGAGTCAGTGCAATGAAACGCATGCACTAGTCCCAGCTGCTTCAATACAAGGTCCAGCAAATTCGCTTAAACTGCTCCCAAACATGACTTTAATACCATATTTTTAATACAATGGATTAGGAACATTAGTGTTTTCCAATCCAGGGACTATTGTGGAGGCAGGAACCTTCAGTAAGGAGGCGGAATAGATGGTCAGGGTAGCAGTTTTTTGCATCACTCCAGCCAGATTTGATGGAGTCTAACCATGGCAGGAAAGGCTATGAAATTTTCATGCTCACAGCTGTCATTTGTCTGCCTTATTAACAGGTTTATGAACTTCTAATTGTCTGGTTGGACTAGATGACCTCCTGAGGTCCCCTCCAACTTGAATTATCCTAATGTGTATGGCTAGGAACCTGGAGATACAGTTCTCTTTCTCCTGACCCAGTTACTTAGCATATCTTGGCAAACTGTGTAGACCCATGCATACCAAAATTTCCCTCTGAGGGATCCAACTGGTATTGCTCTGGAGTTGAGTAACTGCTTTTCAAAGGGAGGTCAGCAGTAGTATGGGTATCCTCTGCCATGAGGAAGCAGCCCTGCTTGACTCAAGCATTACTAAAAAAAGGGATGGGGGAAAAAATCACCAACCAAACAAATAGAGATTATGACCAAATAACCAACCTTCTCTGTCTCACGATTTCCTAGCTGGGGGATACAATCCTCACACAAAGCAGTTAATGTGTTGCCTTATGTGATAAGAGGTACATAGCCTAGCGGGAAGGGATATTATGGCAGTGTTGGGAACAGGCTGCTTATCATCTGCTCTCCCTAAGAAACACTGAACTCTACAAGGTCTGCACAGTATCTATGCTTTTGGGTATGTGAAAAACCAGCAGGAATTGATGTCATGGGCAGGCAAGTTTGAAAAAATCTGGAAAACGGGGAAGCCAGAGTTGCAGCTGTTATGAATTCATCACGATTTTGGCCCCAGTTCTAAAATAGTCACAAAGACATAAGAATCTCCACATGATTTTGAGGGAAGCAAGATCTGTAGATACACGAGTGACACATTCATCCATGCGGTATTGTTTAAGAGGCATACTGAGCTTTTAGTTTCAAACCCTGCTCTTTCACTTCTGTCAGTTAACATTTCTGAGAACCTTATTGTGAGATGCGACCTCATGCTGCTACCTTAAAGTAACTACAACAGACATTTTCTGGAGAAATCACGTACTACTATAGGGAGTGTTCACAAGGTCATCATCACTGGGACACTCTCAGAGCTGTCACACAGCAGTTCCAGCAGCAAGGACTTGCTGCAGTGGTGCAGCTGCACATAGAAACACAGCTCGGATCCGCTGGGATCTCAGTTGGCTGTTCCTGCCTCCACATCTACTCTGCCTTCCTCTGCAGTAGTTCTGCAGGCTCAGCTAATGAACGAACTTCATCCAGATGAATTTGGGTAATTTTTTGGAGAGGCATTACTGCCTTCCCACCAGATGGGATCCCAGGCTTGCCTTGCCAGATGGCAACATCAGTGTTGTTGTAGTGTAAATAATAAACAGGAAGGCATGGTCATGATCGGAGAGGAATGCAGGACTGCCCTTTTTGGTGGCAATACAGACAGGTCCAGGAATAGGGCAAATAGGGCAAATCCCCAAATCTGTTCCTCTACTGTACTATAAAAGCAATTAAACCACTATAGCAAAGATAGTGTTCAGTGCCCTTCTGTGTGTCCATGTAAGACAAATGCACATTCTGCCTTTCCCAGCCGCTCCCTCAGCTGAGGTGGAGGCAGACGAGGTCTGCATTCAGAGTGGGAATGAGCTCTGAATGTGAAGTCAGAGCTCTTCTCGGCTTGGACACGAGGCAACGGGCAGAAAGTGATGCACAGGAAATTTCACCTGAACATGAGGAAGAACTTCTTTACTGTGCAGGGGACGGCGCAGTGGAACAGAGAGGCTGTGGAGTCTCCCTCACTGGAGATATTCAAGAACCGTCTGGACACAGTCCTGTGCCATGTGCTCTAGGATGACCCTGCTTGAGCAGGGAGGCTGGACCAGATGCCCCGCTGTGGTCACTTCCAACCTGACCCATCCTGTGATCCTGTGTGTTCGACCACTCCGACTCGAGCACGGGCGCAGCGCAGGGCCGGCGCTCAGCGGCCAGCCTGGGCGCTTAGCTCTGGCACTCGCTCCTCTGCTCCCCGGACGGGCACTGCGCCGCTCGCGCAGCAATCGGGACGCTCTCCGCCCGCCTCTGCCCGGGATGCTCGGCACGGAGCCCTCTCGAGGGCTGCCAAACGCGGGCTGGGCGGCGGCGCCCGCAGCCACCTCCGCCGGCCGGATGCGGCGGGCGCGCTCCGGAGGCCGGAGCCGCGGTGGCGGTGCCGTCCCCTCCCTCCCCGCGCCCGCCGCCGCCATGGCAACCGCCCGTCGC